ATCCAACAATTGTTCCAAGTTCAGAAGTTCACAATGTAAATGAAATATAAAATCATTACATTCTATTGACATTCAATAGATGAAGCATACTCTTTTGCTGCTCATTATCGTTATTTATATTTTGATTTAATGAAAGAAAATAAATTCGATATATTACATTTTATATTAAAAGACTAAAGAACGTTTGTAGTAATTATTTATCAATTATCTTAAATCATTTGAAAGTATAGTAACTGATTACAGTAAGTTAAACATCATTTTCACAACTAGTTATGTTCGAAAATTGAGGTGGAAACAGGCTTAAGTTAGTTCACTAGTCATCTAACTTTAATATATTATGGTAAACATGGATAATTATTTTGATGTTAATAGTCTAATGGAAACATATTGGTGAGAAGCTTGTCACATATACCAAGTAAGTAAACACTTTTTCTGAAAGCATAATTATAAATCTTATACTGCTTTTTGAATATTTTTACTTTAGAAGAAAAATTAAATTTCATTGCCTGATATTTATTATATAACACTTATTAGGAAAAGAATAGACTACATAGAAATGATAAAAAGGAAGTGGTTGTAGCACTCACTGTATTCAGCTAAACATTCTGACAAAATCTATTAAAATCTACCATTATGATCTATTTCAACTTTACTTCGAAGACAGTATAGAAGTAATTTTTGATCCTTTAATTATCCTATTTAATAATTTTCTGTGCTTTTGACGTGAATTACAGAAACGTGGAGACGTATACTATTTCAACATAGATTACTAAATACTCATCTAATAAGCTCTAATAACTTCAAATATCTTTCTTTTTCATTGAAAAAAAGTGTTACCTTAATGGGCAACGAAGATTAACGATAGAATGTTTTACAATAGACAGATATATCAATAGTTGAGATCATGAGTCAATTGAATCTAGAACACCATGGAAAACCTGGAAGCACTGGACAGTCGTTTCGTTTTAGAATGGGACTTTTCAGAAGTGCTCATCCATAATCCCACCCTGCGATATTTAAACTCAGGACCTATCGGTCTCGCGAGCGAGCACTTAACCACTAGACTACTGAGCCGGCATCCAACGGTGTTAATGTCTAACTTCAAATATATCTTATATATTTGTTCTATATTATTTACAGAATAAACCTATTCAAATTTTCTTTTCGAGAGATCATACGATTCAAAATTTACAATACATATAAACGGTTATGTTTAACTAATCGCTTGAATTTTTTCCTAAATTGCCATCCTAGTATCAGTTTTTTTTTTAAATTCTCTGTTTGTAGTTGTGTGATGAATTTCAGTTCCCGTGATTAATTGACTGTGCATTTAAACAGAGGGTTATCGTGTAGAAAAATATGTTACCAATCAAATTTTTATTATTACATCGTTTGATAAAACCCATCAATCATATAACTAATTAAAATATTGTTTACCATATATTTCATTCAGTGTTACGTACAAATGAAAATTCTTTTGTATTCTCTATGGCTTTCACTGTAGATGGTTTATTGTTTTAAAAACAAACTACCCACCGTTATTGAGCAGGTAAAATAAAACAGAAATACCACTCTTTTTTGCATCAGTGAGTAGTATCTAAAATAGGGTGAAATATATTTTGTTTCTTTTTTTACCAAAAAACATAGTTGATAATTACTTCATAGGAGCATTATTTTGTTTCATGCAACAAAACATTTCAGATTTGTTTAAATAATGCCACTTGTTTTCTGTGAGAAATCAAATCGTTCTGTGAAGCGTAACATTGAGCTCTATATTTTGGTAATAATAATAATCAGAACAGTAATAATCGCGTTAAACTAATCCTTTCATCTGGTATGTTTTAATGATTACTTTTTTAGAAATAAATTAAATTAGAAAAAGCGAAGAGGTGTTCAAAGTCTAATTTCTGACTAGGAGAGTTATGGCTAATGTTTTCTTGTGTGAAAAAATATATCATTTCAGTTTCATATATCACGCAATCAGTCAGGCAAAAAAAATCCATTTTGTATTATAAAACTTACACTAGTACTCATTAATTTGAAATTGACTAGTTGAACGCCTAAACGTTGCTTATTCCATTGCTAACTCTTAAAACTACAGGGATTTAAAACAACAGTAATAACTGAATAAATGGGATATTTGCCACTGTTCCTTGACTTCTCACTGTAATTAACTCAGTCCTAACCAATGTCAACCATGAATCAAGTAACTTGTTAGTAACGTTTGTGAATGTCACTTCTAAATACCTAGTATATTTGAATATATAATGATCATCAACCATGACGTAACAAGTAAACTTATCGTTCCCAAATTGAGGTATGTTCCTTTGACTATAAACTCCGTCAATATTTATCCACCACTAAGTGTACGGTGTTATTTTCATAAATATTTCGAAAAATAATCAGTGATCCTAATAAATATATCAGTTCTACTCACGATTCGCATTGATCTTTCGATTTGGACATGTGGCTGTCATTGCCTATTCATTTAATAATCATTTAAGTCATCAGTTTAATGTCATTTATTAAGACATTTCAATACTTTTTAAATTGATTATAATGACATGGACATTTATTTAGTTAAGAAAATCAATTAATGTCCCAAAAGACACTTGAAGTTATAAGAATGTTTACTTTAAATTGTCTTTAAAATTTCCTATTTTTTTCATGTTATTACGGTTGACTATATTTGTAAATCGAAACATTTAATCATTGCATAGCATTCGAGAACCAACACAATAAGTCACTATTGCTACTAATAATCGATAGAATTACTCTATTTCATAACATTTACAGTCCAAATTATTATTCACTAGATTTATTTATGTAATGAAATTGCTTTATAATAAGTAAAAATGAATTTTTCACTAATTGAATTTAATATGCTTCAATCAAAGACAAACATTGAATGTACGAATTCAATGAATGAAAATACTTGTACTGTTATTTTTTACGTACGTGACTTTTATGAAAAGTAAAAGGTTTACCATATAAAGTTTTGATATCCATAATAATAAATAATCAAGAATAATTTATTACTGGACGAATCAGTATTTGTTTAGAATGATGTAATGATTATTTCTTTCAAAAAGCTTGTTCAAATAAAGATTAAATAAGTGAAATTAAGAAAACAAACACCGCTACAACATGTTATGTTAGATCAATACAGACTATTATAAATTCCACTTACAGTTCAATGTGTGTTACAAAGAAAATTCAATATACAAGTGTCAGTGTACATTGATCAGACAATTGGTTACAGAATATAAATCACGTATCTTTTTTCAGATAGTTACAACAAAAAAACATTTTTTTTCAAAGGGTAATAAAAACTTGATTTAAAACATTCCATTAGCCAATGATGAAACAACCAAATAACTGAAATAATTTTGTTTTTTTTTTCAATTTTATTTTTGAACAATCTTCTTGAAATTCTCAAGGTTGAAAGTGTAATTATGTAAATTTTGTTTTCTGATTTCTAGGTATCGTTGAGTTTATTGTTTTGTTTCTTTGTTTACTTTATCTGAAGTAAATAATCATTAAATCGAAGTTTTTTGAAGGAAATAAACCAGGAAGTTTAGGAAGGAATTATGATTACTATTAATATTTGTGTATAAGCTTTATATTAATACTAAATCTTTGGTTACATTTTATTTAAATCTAGGGTTAATATTGAGATAATTTTTATGACACCATTCTTTGACCAAGAATTATCCCCTAAACGTATGTATCAGTATGTTACGTTATAACATGTTTACACTGTGAGCGATTCACTGCTTTACTTTTCTAATAAATAAAACAATTCACATGACTGATAAATAAAGTTACAGTACATATTTTCACATATGCAGTTTAAGAGAAAATATATATCTAATTGACAATGGTTAGTATATATTGGAATGAATTCTTTTGAATTTCTATGGATTATTCAAAATTATTGGTTCTATATTCACTGATTACAATATCGCCTTGGTCTTGATATTTTGAAGTTGACTACATAACTTCTTTTTTTTCACCAAATAGGTTCGTATCATTAACTGTAAAGAAGTCATTTATTTCTAAATAAAATGGATCTTAATCTACTTTTTAGATCATTAGAAATCTGATATAAACTTTCAAAGGATTATAGTTTAATATCGAGATTTCAAAACGACATTCAATTAATCATGTGTCATTTCAAGATGGAAAGTTAATTGAAGATGTAGAAACTTCCTTAACAAGTTCAAAACAAGAAGCCAGTAGACAATAAAATAAGAAAAATATCAAAAGTTTCTTTGTATTTAATAGAAGTTTATACTTTTATTGAATTTTTTTTACTTGGGAAAAATCCAGTGTTATAAATACATCTAATAGACAGGACATTTTTAAGCAACTTACCCAGCTATCGGTTCAACAGTTAGTTGATCAATACATAAATTTCGCATTTTGTTACAATCAAGCATTGTAATCCAAAGCATTTAAGGTTTATTCACAATAAAACAAAAGTAAAACTCACGAAAAAGTAGGTAACAAATGAAGTTGTGTTTATTGAAGATGTAAATTAATAGAATTGTAATACAATATAATCTAAGCAAACGTTTTGCCAGTACCGGGTTTTTGTTTGAGATCAATGTAATGCCTAACTAGTTTACTTTCACATATGCCGTTAAAAATGAAATCAAAATTGCTTAGGTAAAATTCACATATCAACTAATATACCATTAAGAATTCATTTAAATGATGTGAATCCCATTTGATGGAAAGGTCACCTTATTAATCTATGTTGATTGAAATCATGACTCCGGAATTTAAGTTGATACGTCTTCAAGCATTTCAATGGACAAATATAATTCATGCCTAAGAAATTGAGCCATTTTAAAATGTGCTACTTAATATATAAAATATGACTTTCTGAAATGTATATTACAAATAAAAAGTTAACTTTATCTTCATAATACATATTTTTATGTTTTTGTAGAATTTTAAATTTAATTTTGCTGCAAAAATTTTATATTTTACAGAATACTTATTAAACAAATACAGTGAATTGCCTGGAGAAATTATAACATTCGAATTACCTTTGAGCACTTTGACTGTCGAAGCATCTCATCATAAAAATGTGAATTTAGGTTTAAAACTTGCCGGAAGTAGAGATTTAAATCAAATGAGTGTTTTCGTATGTGGAATACAACCAGGAAGTATCATTGAACGTGACGGACATATAGAGGTTGGCGATCAGTTATTAGAAGTAAGTGATAATAAATTTAGAATATTTGTATTATTGTTACGAACATATATTCAATACGAAAATCGGTATCCACCTTGTGTTTTGTATGAAAATATTAACTAATAGCAAATGTGACCAGTCAGTTTAATGACAATCACCTATTCATTAAGTAAACTGACGATAAGTAATTTACATATATATAGAATGTAACTATATGTAATTAATATTGAGCTTACATTTTGTCACCACAACACTTGCATAACTTGTATCTATTGACTATACAAAACACCTAGTAAATTTTTGGGTAAAGCAATTTACACAATTGGTAACAGGGTCGATTCCCAGCAAGTCAGAGATAAACTAAAACGTACAGTACAAAAAATAAAATTTTCAAGGCTCTTTTCCTCAAACTTATTGAATCTCTCTTTCTCCTTATAAAACTTTGTCAACAGTCGAACCGTACTTGAATAAAAAGAGTTCTGAATTTTTCAATTTTAAGTGGGAACAATTTGAATCAAACATTGGGTTAAGCGTTAATCCCTATATCATGAAAGATTTATCAAACAACCTTGAACTTTTACAATATTCTCAATACAATATTATTACATTGAATGAATCGATAAAAATAATGAAAGAGATTCGGAGTATCCGTGGCATATTACTAAAGTTAGTTGGTTTATGAACTTAACTCATCAGTGGTTTGATTTTGCAAATTCCAATATTCATCGAATGATGGTTTTGAACACTTCAATTTAAGGTAATATGTTAATATCCACCGAGTTACAACGGATAACGTACACTTAAATCATTATATGAAGATAATGAAATCTCAACAAGACAAATCTATGTTCCAAATAAACAATCTTAGTTTGAAAAGTATATGATTTATTCTGAATTCTTGCCCATGGCTTGTATATGAAATGTATACAGACTTACCATAGATGATAATTAAAATAAACGGTTGTTTAAACTTGTGACTTAAGGCAATATCAAGGCAATCCGCACAGGATGTACATATGCTAAAATGAGACTGATCAATTTCAGTCTTAAATAACAATTGGAAGATACAGATATAACAACACCAAGTGAATTAAACCGTTATTTGTTATTCATGTCAAAACCTTTTCATCAATTTTTGTTTAATATGAATCTGGCGAGTTGGAATCTTGGATGCGCACTGCTGAGTAGTCCAATATTAGAACGAAACAGTCGTCAAGTGCTTCCAGTTTTTCCGTGATATTCTAATATCAATCGGTTCATGATCTCAATCAAAAAATGTTTTTCGTTGATAATAAATAACTTTTAACATTCTTCTTGGTCAAGCGTTCTTACTTGTTTGTGTATTTTTCTCTAATAAAAATTTTGAAATTATTTGACAAACTAATATAAACATTATCAACATTATACATAAAGGAATACAAGATGATTATGTAAACATTGAAAATTACTTCAACCTGAAATGACAAGTAAAAGGGTGAAAAGAAAAAGTTTCTTAATGAGTAAACACATTTAGAATTTTACTGGAAAACAAATTCTTTACCTAAAATAAAAAGGTAAACAAATGTTATGAACATAAAACTTGATATACTTAATAAAACTGAAAAACAAAAATACTGTAAACAAGTATAACTGTACAATTAAAGTTGATTAGTTATAACACACTGAGATATTAAATTTAATGAATATTACTAATTTATTTAGTTTGTATATGATATACAAAAGATCCCAATCCTCTAGTCAATATGTATCAACCTTTCAAGCTTCATTCAATGATCAACATGAATGGCCTCCTGTTGTGCTGAGAATCTGGTTTATTTCTCTCGTAAATTTTAACTCTTTAATTCCAACATATTCAATAGGTTTATGCGTAATAAAAAGATATTCTTGGAACTAAACTTTATTCTACATGAGGTTACTTATAATTAAAATACCTGACGATAACTTTCTTTTTACTGGATAATATATTTTAATGAAATAAATAAGATAATATACTCATGATTTACATTAACAGTATTCTCAAACTTCTTTATTGTTATATCCTGAAGGGAATAATGAATGGTAACAGTTAAAATCTATTTCTGGAATAATACTCTAAGTATATTTTGATTGTATAATTTTTAACTAACTAAACTATTTACATTTGTGTTCCTCTTATCATAAGCTTTATTTTGACCTATGAAGTATTATTATACGATTTACCATTCTCGAGTTATGCTTAGTCTATTGATTACTATCTCCAACATTCAAGGCCACTTTTGGCTAAATCTTGTACAAACATTATTTTCTATTTTGTGGTACTATGTGGTCTGTTTGGTTTGTATATAAACCTAGTATGTTTGAAATATACGATTCATATCGCAGAGGCTGAGATTGGTGTTCTGGACTTAACAGGCATTACTCGGCAGGAAGAAGGAGTGATAAGGACTCTAGACTGCTCGTACGGGTTTTATGCGTCATTGGTCCGGTCGATAATTCACTGTTTTTTAATTGGCGGTATCACTACGTTATTCATTGATAGGGGCACAAATCCACTATTATTCTCAGTAGATAATCTAGTGAATTCAAATGGTTCATTTACTTGGATTCACGGTTCAGTAGACAAGATGAAGTAAATGATGACCACTATCAATTAGACGAACAGTTTGAAAATAAATTTCTATATTTCGTAGAAATGTACAGATTTCCTAACTGGATAACAGAAATAAATGTTAAGGACTACAGTCAATAAACTTAAAATCATATAAAATATTAGCAAAATATCTTAGATTTCTGATACTTATCATGTTTGAAGGTAATTCTTTCTATTTCAGTAAGAAATCATATTGACTTGATAAACACTTGAAATTTCTGAAAACAAGATTACACAATTATTAAATTATAGATAAAGAATTCGATTCCACGCTAAGTAACATTTAGTTCACTTTATGTAATACAATATGCACAAGTTAATTGAAACAGAAATATAATTTTAAAAATGTATTCATGTCATTATAAGCAGAGATGATTGTGACTAGTTGTGGAATTCAGGATACGAGTTTCGTTGTATTTGGAACTCATCAGTTGGATGTACTTGCATCTCAGAGTTGACGTCTACTCTGAGACTCGAATCCAGTACTATTCACTTTAAATGTCATCACATTATCCACTTAACTACTGAGTCTACATAACCATTAGTTTGTGTAATGAAGTGAAGTTGAATTCATTTTTGAATTGATTGTTTGAATCTTCTTATTGATGTTTACGACTTCAATTGATCAGTCTCTTCATTTCATTACCTATATTATTAATTGAACGATTCTTTGAACATGTTGATCTCTTGAAATAATTCCTATACATAGGATATAAGCATTGATTATTGATCGATATAAAAATCTATTTATAAAAGGAAAAATAACATATTGTATTTAGTTAAATAGAAGTTTAATTTAGGACTGTTTTGATCTTAATTATCTTTGATAATTTTCTTTTTGATTATTTTCTTTAAAAAAAAGCTGAGGATTAATTTCAGAAAGAAAGATTATGGCTATATACAATTCAATATAAATGTACATTCAGGTTTTTCTATTACATATTGAGTTCAATATCTTAAAAAGAAACCTGTTTGCCTAAATAATAACCCTTCTATATATTATTTAAACAATTAAAACAAGGTTTTCATCCCAATCAGCTCCATCACTAGACCACTGAGCCGGCATCCAACGAAATTGAGCAAGACTGATGGGTCCTGGCTTTGGATCCTGCGAGGCGGGGTCGTAGATGCGCACTGCTGAGGAGTCCCATAATAGGACGAAATGGCTGTCCACTGCTTCGAGGTTTTCCATGATGGTCTAGGTTGATTTGGCTCATGATCTCAACTACTGAAATTACTACATACTTCACAAAAAGCCCCTTCTGACACATAGAAATAGGTTAACTGATTTACTGATTTAATAATATGCGTGAAACTTATGATAATCATCGCTTTCAAGATTCTCGTTCGATATAATATTGTGGCAGTAGTGCTGACTTGTTTTTTATCAGTCTTTACACTAAATGAATTGTCCTATATATTCCACGAAATAGTTACTGAATGATTATTGTTTAGTAAAACGTTATGTAAAGTCATCTGATGAAATCGTTTATTTTCGAAGAACTTCGCTAGATCACATAGTACGCTAAACATGTAATCTAAAAAACGTTTTATTCACATAGATAGCCTTCTGGCATACTATAGTTTTTTATACACAGTTTTAAGTCTATTTCAAGCAATTGCTCCATAATGTTTTCTATTCGAATGTATGAATAACAAGCAGGATATTCTAAACTTGTGAATCAATATGTTTTTATAACAATAAACATATACTGCGTGTTAAACGTTGAATTGGAGTAAAAAGGGAATAAGGATAAAAATGCTAATTAAATCTACATAAAAGACATTTTAAAATGAAAGCATTTACATTTGCTTTTCTATTTCAGCTCAATAATCAAGTTTTATATGGTCTTAGTCATTTGAATGCTGCTCCACTAATCAGATCTATTTATATGGAAGTGATAGGAAGAAGTAGCAATATTTTCAGACGTTCAAAATGTAATGCTTTGAGGTTTGTGATACAACGTCATTCGTCAAATACAAATCTTATGGCAGCATTAGCAACAAATCAACATGCAGATGTGAGTGATTCCAATGTGTTTAATAAATTATTTCTCCATTTTACACTGATCATTTGTACGACAGCTATATCGCACTATTTTCATCAAGAGAGCCTGCACCCTTCATTTGTCGCCAATGTTTTAGTTGATTTTATTCTAGTAATCAAAGTTTCTTTTGTCATATTTATGGAGACTGAGTTTCAGTCGGAAGTTCTGGTATCCAGATGCGTCTATTTAAAATACAAACGCCTAAAACATGTACAGAATTACTGAAATTTGATCACAAACATACATCTTTGCTCTTATAAATATAAAGCCTTCTATAAGTCTTTACTGAACCACTTTTTAACACTTAAAGTGAATTATGTAGATCTATCGACTTTTTTTACCCTACATCAATCAGTCCCGATAATTAGTTCTACTGCTCAATTACATCGTGATGGATTTCTGTTTTGATATGTCTTTTTAACAAGTACTTTAATCATCACAAACACCTATCTTGATAGTAATCATTTGTTCACTAGTGACTAGATTTAAGAAGGGTGTTCTAGAGTTCTAGTGAAAAGCCATGACCAGTGGAGTGAAATCTGTATCGAGTGTGAGACACGTATCTACCTCAGACAATGAAAGATGGTCTCTCAATATCGTGAATTGGTTAAAGTTAGACATTAAAACCGTTGGATGCTGGCTCAATGGTCAAGATATTAAGCGTTCGCGCGTGAGACCAACAGTTTTGGGATTGAGTCTCGTATGTGAAATCGGGGATACACACTGCTGATGAGTTTCGTACGAGGACGAAATGGCCGTTCAGTGTTTCGAGGTTTTTAATGGTGATCTCAAATTGATCGACTCGTAAGTTTAACCATTACTTTTTAACACTATCAGTTCATCTTTTCAACCTGATATACAGGTTACCAAAATAAATATTGAATGCTCAAAAGCTTTTTTTAAAAGAAATTTCTAAGCTTGACAGCTTGTCTCAGTTTTGATAAGATGTTTTTACTATCATTCAGAAATTTAATTACAATTTATAAAACAACTGTAATTTATCAACAGTCAGATAAACTGATCTGTCATGTTTCTCAAATGAATAATAAACTCGTGTTAAAGAAATTATGAAATAAAGAGTTTAAGCGAATCGATGATGAAATTTTAAGCTATGCAGTAATTGGTTTCATGTTTTGAAACTTTTATTTCTTTAAATAGTCTTCTTCTGATCGATCCAGCCGACACACCAGTATAGATACAACAACAAGTGCACTAACATCACCAGTGAAGAACATAAATAAAGCAAAACAATCTATAGAATTTATGAATTTAGCATTTGGTAGTTCACATGGACCTTTAACTCAACAAACATACTCTACAACGTTGTATAGAGTAAGTTGTTAAATGTCAATTTATATCTGTTATTTTACCATAGATTTGATCAATGTTTTTTTGTTTTTCTTATTGTATCTAAGATAGGCTGAAACTTCAAAATCATTGTTTTATTAATGAGTTTTCAGTGATTAAGTAGACCTTGAAGTTAAACTTCACTGTGAACTGAAAATAGCTGATGATCTTTTAAAGACTAAGAATCAGTGATCAGTTGTTTTAGTTTAATTATTTCAGAAATTCTTAACAGGATACATTTCTGACCGCACGGGAGAGTGAATTCAGAACTTTTAAGTTACAAGTAAAACATAATATCACTAAGCTCCATAATATTTGATGACTGACAGTTTCTTTTATTGGTATAGTCATAGCATTTCGACTGTACAATACAGTAGTTGACTATACGATTAGCGGAAAAGCTTAGCAAACCGAAGATAAAATTTCTTCATTAAAATTAATAAATTTCTTTTATAAACATGGTAGTTTTATGAGTTAGAAGTTAACAAAATCCTTAATTTATTGACAATTTTCATCACCATAAATTTCAATCTCGTGATTAGTGTGCTCGGTGAGTTATATACGATTGATAATCACAGAAAATGGTTGGAATATTACCACTTTCTTAACATTGTGATATACATAAGGTTATCTTCTCAACTAGATGCTAATATAAAATCTGAAATCCTTACACAAAAGGTAACTTTTAAAAACATATAGGACGAAAACGGATTCAAGGATCGTTCGATAAACTCATATATCTCAGTTTAAGTGAAATTAATCATTAATTTTCGATAAAATGTCATTCAAAACCAAAATAATGTCGTAAACCTTTATATGAAAGAAACAAAACTATGCGTTCATCATAAACATTAAGAAATTGTATCACTAAAATGTTATTGTTCACACAAATGCCAACTGCTGTTGAAATTTCATCTTATAAAACAACTACGTAAATAAAACTTGAAATCAGAAAATTATTTACCTAAACTTTGATTCTTGTAAAATAAACAATTTTGATTCTATTTGGTTAAAATAGATTTATTCATATTCACCAAACAGTAGAAACCTTATATTTTAGTGAATTCCGAGCTAACATTTTATTTGCATGTGATTGTAAAGACTGAACATTTTTAAGAATTTGAGGATTGAATTTATTTAATAAAATCCTGTAAATGTAATCGAATTCTTATCATCTATTCCTATTGTGTCATTTTTGATAAAAAGTACTCCACCCAAATTATTCTTCCAAGAAACCGAACGATGCTATATGACAGCAGTTTGATTAAACAATTATTTAGATTATGACTTTAGTATTATGACATTAGCACCATTGGATGCCAGCTCAGTGGTCGAGAGGTTAAGTGCTCTCTCGCGAGACCGATAGGTCCTGGGTTTGAATTTAGCGGTACAGGATCGTGGATGCGCACACCTGTGGAGTCCCATACTAAGTTGAAATGACCGTCCTGTGCTCCTATGTTTTGCATGGTGGTCTAGCTTCAATTGACTCATAAATTTAACTATTAAAATCATATGTATGAGATATTTTCAAGGAAAATCTTAGAAGATAGAAATTTATACCTCTAGCTAATTATCTGAATTTTGGGAATAAATATTAGTTCTGAAGTACAACTTAAGATGTTATGAGTTATGAGTTAAATTATTTACTTTATATGATAGAACACAAATTCTTTCATTGACGAAGAGTTCATGCTTCATGGCGCTAAGCTTCTATACTTGATTAAAAATTTCAGACAGAACGTTGTAACCCGGAGTTTATTGACAAACAAACGTTATTTTGTATTATTTTTAAATAGGGTTCTAAAGGATTTGGATTTGCAATAATGGAACGAAGTGCAACAAATGAAGAAGGAATTTATATTAAACAAATCGTTGAAGGTGGTCCAGCTGATAAAGTATGTTTTAGTAAACTTTTTGTGCACAATTCTAATTTCAGTTTGTTAAATTTTGGACACTATTACTTAATAACCGCTACGTTATTTAATATAATAATTAATATTCAGATACCAAAATAAGTGACAATTAACATACTTGAGAAATAGAAAGAACTTTTAAGTTCATCTGTATAATGTATACAGGCAACACCAAATAACACAAACATTAACTAATCCAAAAATAATTTTCTCTAGTAGAAAACTTCTCTTGATTTTGTGTAATTATTTATTTCGAAATTTCTTCATTTGTATATTTCTACCATAATTTATTATGGATTTAATATTGATATCAGTTTATGCGTTTATCTGATATTTTCCACCTCATTCCATTAGTATAGATATTTGTTATGGTGAATCTGAGAATCTTAAGTGATGCAAAGCTATATATATATATATATATATATATATATATATATATATATATATATATATATATATATATATATATATATATATATATATATATATATATCCATTATTCTTAAGTCACGTTTTGGCTGTGTTAATTATTCACTTATCAACCCTGACTGTTTTTATATAAGCGTAGGCGTGTACACTTCTTATCCTACTCATCACATGTTTGTAGCTTACTTTTGTGTGACTATAAATATTGATTAACGCTTGATTAAAGGGAGTTGGCTCACATGCCTTTTCCACCGCGCGTCATTTCGCTTCGCTCCCTTCCATTCTCTTCATCCCTCTCATTTCCTGTCCAGATCAATGAATGTACAAAATATAGGTATCCAAAAATCCATTCTCGTATTTGATTTATTTAATTCCGTTATTCATAAACGTAAAGTCGATAATTATATATGACAATGAAATATATATATATATGTTGTTCACACTTTAGTAAACAAATAGTTCCCTCCACATTATTATTTTCAGATTGTTTATTCAAAAAAAATTATTAAAGCAACTTATTTTTTGTTTAGATAGAAATAAGAAGCTTTATTGTTTTCTGATTTATGTATATTGACAATGCTATCTTGTCATTTGACGTAAATAAGATTCAGAAGGTCACATTTACATTCATATTGTTCGTTGTACAAAATTTGTATTTGATAACTTAGTTTATACCTACTTGAACAAAGCAAACTTCCACTGAAATGTCATGCAAATAAATTACAAATTTTCTATTTTCGATCGATATTCTGTATACGAAAATTCATCATATCAAAGATATTTAACGTTATGAATATTGAAATAGGTTATAAAAAAGACGTTCATATGCCCTATGATGTCGCAAAGATATTCTAATTATAATTCTGTTCTCTACAGTACTTTAAAAGTACTATGTTTAGTGACTGAAAAAAATTATTCTGTAGTGTTGTGGTGAACGAGAACACAAGTGGGGACAACCAAATGTATATTTGAACACAAAACTACAGAACATCTTAGTAAAATCTGAGAATCATACGGTAAATACGTAATTTGCAAAATGTCAATTAATTATTTTCAAACTTGACTGTTCTTTTTGTAAATGTCAGTCAATCGTTTCAGACTTCACTGTGCCTTCATTTCCACCACAATTATTCTCCGTTCTCGTTCTCTTTTATTCGATCTTAACCTTCTGCTGCCAGGTATTTCACTTTTGATTGATGATACGAATTACTTATATCTATCGACATCAGTAGCACACCACAGTACCAATAATTTATGTAAGATAGTTAAATCATCCTAATATAAACTAAAGTGTATGATCACTGCAAAAAAAAAGATAAGAAATAGAATTATCAGAAGCCAAGCAAGCATAATAACAGTGTAAATCATTACATAATTCTATTCATAGACAACATAAATGTTCCACATCCGATTATGTTTTTAAATGAAATATTGGCTTGTGTTAATGATTTGCTTTTAGTAAATCAAAATTATTATTAAAATTAGATTAACAAAATAAGTGATTTGAATTTCAGATAGCAACTATCAGATTATCGAAGTAGATATATAGAAAACACAAATTTTAGTCGAATACATGGATGGAATTTAATGGATTCCATAGAAATATTTTACATTTCTATGACAGTTTAAACATAGATTCAATTTAGAAGTTGTCATTGATATTATAAAACAAGTATTCATATGAATAACATGGTTTATTTATAAAACGTTTTATTGTAATTTTCTTTTGTATATTTTAAGGATGGTATTTTATGTGCTGGCGATCAATTAATTAAAATAAACAAAAAAGATGTGACACATATACCTTATGACACAGTAGTAGAATGGATACGATCTGCAAAACATGTTGTAAGTTTATTTTCTACTTTTGATTAGTTAATTCTAAGGTCATTCCATAATAATATATAATAACTTTTGTTTAAAATTCGATTGAATAAATTCACAGTATTTGAATGCCAAGTTAATGTGAGACATTAAGAAGGAAGTATGTATTTGTAAAATCTCAACGAATCAATATAAAGTAAATTTAACATTTCGACTGGTAATCTGATCCAAGCTTTTTCAAGGAAATATTATTAGATTGCTATCGAAACGTTGGATTCACTAAATAGGCCATACTCTTTGAATTAATTTTTAATTGATGTATGGAACCGTTAACAGAATAAATTAATCGTAGAAGTAGTGAATAATTTCTACTCTACACTAAAATAGTCTTTCAGTACCGTGAAAAATGAAGTAACTAAAACTTATAACTAAAAAAAATGTTTTATTCTTTTTTGATGGATTTTTGTTCTGTGAGCTGGACGGTTTGGTCGCGGAGCTTTCATCGTTCTTCTGAACGACATCATCAGCACAAACTTCATGTGGAATTCGTGTTTATGCTTATCATTTTGATATTTGACACAAAATGAAAGAAAAGGTTTACTCTGTTCATTCTTATTTTTTTATAAATTTAGAATTGATTAGAAACATTTTGTAGTACCATTTATTACGACACGATTGGTGCTGAATTTCAAAAATCTCGTAATGGCACTTTAAAAATCTATGTAACAATAAAAGAGAGGAGACAATGGGACATTGTTACAAATAGGGCAAACATAAATTCTGAACTTCATTGTCTTTATGAATAAATACTAAAAACACGATACCTATTTCGTCAACTAATTGATATTTTCAATTTTCAAATAAACTTACTATTTAACTCTTACTGAATCATTTATGACATAAGATAACTTTGATATGGAAACAACTAAGATTAATCAACGAGGTGAAGAAATGAATTAAGGGTTATCCTTCGTTCAAGTTTGTTTAGATGAATAAAGAATAAAAAAATAATGCTTGATTATTTTTAATGACATTTTATCCAATATTCAGTTACATAATTCCATAAATGATCACTACTGTTTAAACGTAAAATCACATTAAATATCTTTTAGTTGAATAGGTATTTCCCAGGATTTTGAACTGAGCCATTTAGTTGATAGTTAATTAATTATGATTTTTTAGTGCTTATCAGTGAGACTATCTTTAATGTATTTTCTGGCATTTTATTGGAATCTATAATTTAGATGATTATCCGAATCACGATTTAGGAATGGGAATTGCATTATCAAAAAGATGATGATTCTGTTTCTAGCTCAGTGGTTTGCAGTTTTCATTCTCACATTAAAATTTAAAAATCGCGGATTCTATCCTGTTTTGAATAGGAGATAATCACAAACGAATGCAACTTAATGTTATATATATACGTCTATATAATGTACTTTTGTCTCTATTTTCATGCTTATTTACTTTCAGCTTCATGTACAAGTTACACGTTGGGGTTTCAATATTCAAGCAAGTGCAGATACAAAATCATCAACTAAACGTTTCTCAGATCCATCTGTACTGAACACATTTGCATCTGTTTTATTTGGTAAAGATAATGAAATGAAAAATTTTCTATCTCCAGTTAATACAAAACCTTTAAACGTATTATCCGCAATTGAAAGTGGTAGGTTATTTTTTACATTGAACAATAATTAGCGGTTGTTTTTAAAAATATAATTTAAAATAAAATTGTTACGATTTAAACAAATAGATATTACATTTTTTCTTAAGTGTTATTTGAAACTTTTGTCCTATTTCTCCTTATTATCATGAAATCATAAATAAAACTATGATGATCTTTTCTGCTAGTTGATGAATGAAATAACTAATAAGTTTAATGATGGATTAGCGATTTCATTGGTTTCAATCAGTCTACACTAGAACACATTGTAATCGAAGAATTAATGAATATGTAACATAATCAGTAATACAATATTGAATCATTGTGTTTATTATGATTAAAGTATGTGTGTTTTCATTCTCTACTGAATGCATTTTGTATTATACGTGAAAAGGACAATAATTGTTTAGTTTTCAAAGTTTTACATTGGTAAAACGGTATCTGTTTTGAAAATTAAATACAGCTTTACAAAAAGAGCAAAGTTCATCCTGAGGTTTTGAGTGTAACTTTGTGTTTCAATCGTTTAATGAAGTGCACTACTGAATATGATGGAATTTTCATTGTCCATTACGGTGCTTAAGTCAATACTAGAAATTCACAGTAACTCACATTCCATCCACCCTAAAGATTGAATTAAGTGTTACAAAATAACAATTAAAACGTTTTTCCTTTGTCCTGTTTTCATTTGTTAGTTAAAGTCTGCATAAAATATTCACTTGTTTTAATAAGCTTTATTTGATATTCTAATGGTAGGACAACATCAGAGAAATGTCTTGGCTTTCATGCTTCTTTTCATCAGTTTATTATCACATGTATGTTTTGCTGATATGAAACATAATACCTACCCGTAAAATAGTGTTCTGAATCAAATATTTTGTTTAATTAAGGGGATTAGTGAATTCTTACAGTTAGAGGATAACTTTAGCTTTTTTAATTTTAATTTTCGGGATTTCTGGCGATTGCAGTATCGTTGATGCTCACTGCTAAGAATCTCGTTAATAGGATGAAACGGCCATCGAATGCTTCTAGGTTTTCAATGGTGGTTTAGCTTAGATTGACTAGTGAACTCAACTTTTATTTATATTTATCATTGAGAAAATCAAATGAATAAACTTGATTTATGTTTGTGTAACCTTATTTGTTCATTAACTCATATACATAAGAAATAAACATTTACTGTAAGGAAGAATTTAACGAATTTTGTTGATAACATGCTTTCAGTAGTTGAACTTTTATCAGATATATGAAAAGTTTGTTTTTAAAATAAGTGATATATTACTCGTAAAAAATGATAGTCAGAATCACTTTTACAAAAAGACTGAAAGGTTGAAATATGATACCTAGTGTATATAGTCTGTTCAATTCCGGCAAATTCTGTAAACTGAAACGTTTGTTGACAGTTTCACTATTTCTTTATAATTTGGTTCCTATCATTTTGTTAAGGTGTCTGAGATTATGGATAATCTGTCTAATCCATATAATTCAGAGTCACTTAGAAATATTAACTAGATAGGTAGAAGCTTAGACTGAAAGGACAATACGTTTATAGTAGTGTGATTGCACGCCATCTCCTTGATAGTGGTCATTGTGTTTATGTCTCAAAGTCCTTTAAGATAACTAATAAACAAAAACGTCAAATTTACTGCGGTTTGCTAAAGCAATTACCATAAAAAGAATTCACGCAAATTTATGTATCCAGGACGATTTAGTTGTCAATCATACTTTGCTGTATTGAACTCATTCATAAATATTTGTATAAAGATCGTTTTTTATTATACTAAATATTAATTCTCATTTTCTATCTGATCTGTACTCTGTTGGCCAGTTTTTCAAGATTTACTTAACTTACTTACTTACGCCCGTTACTCCTCGTGAAGGAGCATAGGTTTCTCACCAGCATTCTCCATCCAACCCTGTCCTGGACAATCCTTTCCAGCTCCTTCCAGTTGTTATTCATTCTTTTTATATCTGCTTCTATTATCCTACGTAATGTGTTCTTTGGCCTTCTTCTTCTCCTCTTCCCTTCAGGATTCCAAGTTAGTGCTTGTCTCGTGATGCAGTTTGACGATTTGCGTAATGTATGCCCTATCCATTTCCATCGTCTTTTCCTAATTTCTTCTTCAGCTGGAAGCTGGTTTGTTCTCTCCCGCAGTAGGCTGTTGCTGATGGTATGCGGCCAGTGGATGTTGAGTATCTTGCGTATTATTATTATTATCAGCTTTATTCAATTTTATATTTTTGGTACAATATAGAATTCTCAGCATAAAGTATTTCAACAAGTTTCCGTTTCTTTCTTCTTGGTCGGTCCTGGCGATAAATATTGAGTGATTGCCAGTTAGATGTTAGCAGTTCAGTAAATGAACATCTGAATAATGTGCATTCTTTTCGTTGTAAATTGCCAGCAACCACACTGTCTCTTATTGAGCTTTTTGTAACATTGATAACGAAAGGTTGTACACTTGTCAGAAACGCAGCAGAATAGGTTATGCGATTAATAAACATAATGATATATTAAAACAAACAAAAATATATAACTTGTTGAAGTATCTAGATGGCAGGAACAGGTAGCCCAGATGCTCAAGCAGGCCGCCCTTTATCCGGATGCTTAAAAATTGTGTTAATCTAGCGTAGACAGCTATTTATAAATACTTGTACCTTCTTGATGATGGTTGTTGTAGTTCTCCACCTGTAGCTCTTCTAGGGTTACTGCCGGTCCCAAGCCCGGGTAAAGGAGGAGGGTTGGGCATGGGGTTAGCGTTCCCATCCCGTAGAAAACTAACTCGCTAAAAAACGCTTACCAGAAAATTTTTACTTAACTAGAACATTAATATATCATTTCTAAATAATTATGTTTCTATGTTCTTAGTTATTTATTCTATGATATTCCTGTATTAAACCTATAAATATTCACATTAATTAACATGTGAACATCTCTTATAGTTCTTGAATACTTATTGTTTTTTTCATGAGTCTTAATTGATGAGAACCCTTCCGATGTTATGATATGAAGTATATTGACTGATTCTCAAAGATTGTAATATTATGTTCAGGTTTTAAGCAGCTGAATTGGAGCTGCAAAGTAGAATGAATTCATGTTATTCTGCTACATTATTTGTTCTAACTTCACTCAAATTTGTAAATGGGAAAAACTATACGAAGAATATAAACTAAGTAATTGATCGGGATGTTCCGAAAGTCTGAAGGCTAATGAACTGTATCCTCTATTTGAAGAATTATCACAGACTAATAATTTCATGAAGCAACCTTGGTTTGGTGGTTTATAATTTTCTTCAAATAGGTAATCCATAAGAGTTGCATTGAACCAACATTGAATAAAACACATCTCATATCTTCATGACAGATTTCTGATCTGTGCGAACTCAAGAAAATGACAGAAATACATCTTGTAGAATAATCACTTCAATAGCATAACTTAAGAATGTGTAAGCTCTTACTGATGAAGTAGCCATTAATTGTAAAACATTGAAGTAGTTACTACTTAATTAAATAGGTTTCTAACACATGCTTTCAAACCATCATAATGTCATTTTTTTAACATATGACAATAGTTCATCCTACTAAGGGTAAGGTTGATTTTTCCTACTTCAGAAATGTACTACGTTTTTCACATACAAATGCTTCTTCATTACAGATGTATTAATTTCAAACAATTACACATTTGTATTGAATACTTTTGATAAAAAGTCAATATAATAGTTATTTTGCATGCTTCTTTTAAGTTGCCAGTCTTACTTTACGTCATTTATTTACCTTCTAAAAGAAATCTGTAAACGTTTTGTTCAGTTCTTTTTACACAAAAAACGAACACAAACTGTCAGTATGCTGATATTATGGTGTCTAGTTTTTCTAGAATACTAACTTGAAAGTCAATTGGTTAAAATATGCTTCAGGTAAATAATGTTGCCCTTTATTAACCATTTTCGATGTATATATAACACAGTGTCATGTATGTTTCGGTTTTAAATATCCTATGAAGTGAACATTTTGAGAAAAAGTTGTTATATTTCCTATAAATATATGAAATATTTATGAACTAATGTCACCGATGATATTTACACGCACGAAGATATTGCTGAAATCTATATGATTTAGTGATAGAACGTATGATTTGTTCAATGAATCGTTTCCAGTTATTTACTGAAAATGAACCTTAAAATAGACCTGTTATGATGGTATTTATTTTTCTTATTATAATAAGTTTTTTATATCACTGCCCAGCAAATGATGAGTTTTTTTGACAAGTCACATATTTAAAATGTCTTAGATTTATACCAATTTATGGTTACTTTATTGTATATCAGTTAGTTAGAGTTAATCAATAGGTCATCATGAATCCATATTTTTAGTTGTTTATCTCTCATCAGCAAGGTGTATCTACAACCGTGATGGAACTGATACTTTCGTAAGACTCATAATTGCCTCTCACATTATGATAGTTTGAGACGATTTACTGTAGGTATGAGATATTTACACTAGTTAATCGCTTAGTAACACTTGTGTCATTCTTGTATCATATTTAGTCCTCAACAAATCCTAAAAAATAAGTCACAACGTGGCGCTTAGTCAAAGTTGCTTAATATCAGATGAAGTATGTTTTGATGTTAAGCGGTTAAAGAGGACTTGCAGTTAGCCCCATAAATGTTTACAATGATATGTGATATTTAATTAGTTGATAACGAAGATCAGTCAAAAAATAAGTTGATAAATTAAAAATGGTATTTATAACATCAATTAAGTATCTGTCATTCATAAATAAATTGTTTAGTTATTCACTTTATCTTTCTCATTAAGAGTGCATTGTGTTGATTATTTCTTAACAGTAACCTATAAAAAAAATTATCCCTTAAATTGTAGGTGTAGGTGAGATTTCGTCTGCTGATCGTAATGGGTGTATGGTGCTATGGAGTCAACTCCGTGATACTTTGAGGCTGTAAAACTCGTCAACTACAGGTTTTCGATCATATGTTTCTGTGAAGCATCGCTCGTGTTTCTTGAAGCAACCAAATAAGCGAATAAGGTTAGGTATAGAGTACTGTCCAAAAGTGGCAAATAGGTTGATGAGGCGATGATTATCCACCGACCACGGTGGGTAGAACATGTGTTACGTATTCCTAGTAACTGCTTATTTCTACAGGTAATGGTTGCTGATGTAGGATTAGGTTGAAAGAAAGCCATAAATTGTTGATTCTAACTTTTTTAGGAGATGCATACTACCTGTGAAGGGTCCATGAGATAACCGCAATCAGTGGTTTCGGACTTTGAGTAATATGTATCAGAATCGTTCATGATAATGCAAATGAATTAACTTATTCTCCTACTCTAAATCTCAACTCCTATTATACCCTCATATGTAACTTTCCACAGTTCCTTCAAGCCTTTTTCTAAATACCTAGTCATTTTCATTGTCTTCATTACCACATTACTTTGATTTTTTGCTACTCATTAATTTCATTTCACCGTAATAATACGATATAGAAAATTGGACCAACATACATCTATGCCAGGTTCTACTCTGCCAAGAACTGGTGGTGAAATGTGTGATATATATGTTGATCCAACAATAGAAACTATCAACCCTCAGACATGTAGCTCCCTTAACAATAAACACCTTTTATATATGATATATCATATGGTAAAAAGGTAATTGGACTGTCAAATATATCTAAATCATAAATAATATGGATCTATAAAATAAACAAATAAAATGATTCATCTTAGAGTCAATGACTAAATTAATTTTCCGGGTTTGTTGAACTCATGGCAATATCATGTTTTATAAGTTAAAATAATAGTATACACTGTTTAGAATAATAAATTAGATAGTTATTGTAAGAATTTTGTTTAAAATACCTAATTAATTGACTGATTGTTTGAATTTTAATTTCTAAAATCCATAAATATATTAAAATTAAACAATTAAAACAAATGATTTTATCAGAAGGGGGTTTTGTGGATATTATGGTAATTTTAATGGTTGATATCAAGAGTCAATTAAAGCTAGAACACCATGGAAAACCTGGAATCACTGGAGGGCCGTTTCGTCCCAGTGTGGGACTCAGAAGTGCGCATCCACGATCCCGCGTTGCGAGATTCGAACCCTTGTCCTATCAGTCTAGCGCGCGAACGTTTAACCTCTACACCACTGACTTGGTATCCAACGGTTTTAATGTTTAACTTCAATTACACATTAACTCATTAATCAGTTCATGATTTCAATAATAAGTACAAAGCTTTTGCAATACCATATCTAGCGTATATACCATCCGACGAACAGGTTGTGAAAGCTGACTCGATGAAAAAATTCCATTCATGGACATGTTGCTAATTCACTGTTGTGTAGATCCTTATTTTTCTAGACAAATTTCATTTAATTCTAGATAATTTATTTGCTTATTTATTACATATATGTATGAGGTCTCGATTGTTTTTGTGATGTAAGAAGAGCAAAAGAATTTTTTCGAAATGTTGTATGATAAGAATTCTATTTTGTACTGAACATGCCATGTTAAATAAACCTATTATTATTATTTGTATTTTTTAGTTCACTGGCAATAATAATTAGTGACAAAGGTTTGAGGACCAAGGGGAATATTTGTTTCTCTAAGACTATAGGTATATCTGGCAGATAGATCCTATATAGTATAAAATTTAGGCCCAGATCTTCTCTCTATAATTACCCTCTAACACGATAAAGATCTGAATGAATTAAGTAATAGTTTAGGGAAATTATATGGCAAATGTTAGGTAAATAATAGATATTTCTCAAGAATTTTATTTTGTATTCTCGACTTTGAAATCATAGTTTGTGTGTGACAAATTGTTCAAATTATCTTCTGGAAAATAACTAAGCAAGTCAAAGGTTCTATTGAGCATACCTCCAGAACAATTCAAACATAAGATATGAAATCTTTAGACTCAAGAAGAACATCTTACCATATATAATGAGTTCAAATGCTTTTCAGTGTTCTCTTTATAATTTTAATTTAAATTATTAAAAATGAGTTTGTTAAACTTCTCTTATATGTTTTACTTTTTCGAAACCATAAAGGTACGAGCTGGTTAGTACCCCGACAAATCGTTTCAAGGTATCGTCGTGCAAGTTTTCCAAACATCTGTTACAAAAGAGAGCATATCCCTACTACTGTTCTACAGCCTTTGCCAAACTATTCAACAACTTCAGTTAACCTTCAAGGAGATATAATGAATTTCGATAAAATCTCAATTTTAATAAATGACGAACCAGAAATCGAAGCAACAATCCGTCCCATCAAGTCTGGAGCTGAGACTGAAATATCGATCGCAATAAATAATTCTTGTGGTCTAGGAATAGGCTGTATAGGAGGCTGTGAAACAGCACTAGTAAGCGTGCAAATGCTTTATTTTATACATACACATCTTTTACATATAATGAACAAAAACTGACTTCATGTTAACTCTCAAAAGTTACGTTTTAGTTCCCGTTTTAGTGATGTAATTTCATTTTATTTAAAACTCAAAGTAATTACTAAAACTACACTGAAGTATATATATTCAATTTTAGTAGAAGTAGTAGTAGCTTTTTTAGTAATCTGTATAAAAACAGAATAAATAATACACAATATAAGCAAAGATAGATGGTGGCTGGCAGTGGAATCTAGAACACAGATTTCATCCTATTTGTGACTCGTCAGTTGGATATGCCTATATCTCAAAGTTGATATTCACTTCGGGACTCAAACCCAGTACCGTTCACTTCAAATGTCATCACATTATCCACTTAGCTACTGAATAGAAAAATGGTGTAAAATGATGAAATATTTCATATTTGATTAAACATTTGTTAACGAACCCATTTTATGTTTTGAGAAGAAACATTATCTGTAGTCATTACAGAAAAAAGAACAGTCTTATTTTTTACCATAGAATAAAATAAATTTTTGTCGAGTATATAATAAAATTTTAGTCTCGCTATACATTTATGATGTAAATTCACTTATTGTTGTTTTTTACTTGTGTCTCCCCACTGTTATTCAGGGCTGCGATTGATCAGCCTCAAGTTGGCATATGTGCATCCTGTGGGGATTGCCTCGATATAGCCTTACGTTACAAGCTTTTTAAGCAAGGATGGATAGTGGTTAACGGTGAATTCCAAGACGCACGTTTCGTCCTATTTGAGACTCATCAGCTGGATGTACTCGCATTCCAGATTTGATGTTCACTCTAGGACTCGAACCCAGTACGTGAGACTGATCAGTTGCAGTCCTAAATAACAATGGGAAGATACAAGCAAACAACATCAAGTGAATTTAAACTTCACCCCATCTCACAAGCAGGTGGCTATCAGGACTCAGTATCTGAGCGGATAATGTGGTGGCGTTTGAAGCGTACAGCACTGGGTTCGAGTCCTAGAGTGGATGTACATGCATCCAACTGACGAGTTCCAGATGGGACGAAACGCACATCCTGGATTCCACTGCTAGCCAATATCTATCTTCGCTTTTATGATGTGATTATAATTTTTCTCAAACCTTAACAACATAACTGCATCCTCCATGTTGTTATTTTTTTTAAGTTTGTTATAAACATATTGATTTAAAATATGTTCATCGTATTCATAATCATGTGATTATAAGTTTGTTTTGATAAATAAACTTTTGTTTATTTACATGTGATATTAATATGAAATTACAACTAAATGTAGAATACATAAATAATAAATAAAAAACGATATGAGAAATCTTCCCGCTCATTAATAATACAGACAATTAAGATTTATATAGGTAGTCTTGTAGGCTTTTTATAAACATTTGAACTGATAAATGTATGGTTAACTACTTTAGTTCTAACTAATCCCATCGTTTACTTCTTAAAGAGAACATCAAACTTTCAATTTCGATGATAATTTATTAATTACTACTGTGAATTAAAACTGGGATTTCCATATACTGTGATATAGAACTGTTACTAAGAGTATTAGTAAAATGTAATAATTCTTCCCTATTAAAATGCTTAAAAGTGAATACCAATGAAAAAATAATGCACGTTGAATAGATTGACATAACTGTAAACTACAAACGATAATAATTGACTTATTGTCTATTAAAACCTAAACAGTGAACTACAGTAATAGTTTCACAATGATATTTATTTTGTATTGATCGATTCGTTTGGTCCACAAATTATTGGAGTAATCAAAACTCATCCTATTTTAAATTATCTAATATATCATTTATTTCCTACAGTTTTCAGCAGCATGTAAGGGTTCGTGTTTTCCTAAATACAAAATGTTTACTGAATTTCTGTCATAATAAAATAAATCTTTTTTTCATTCTGCTAACAGTTTTATGATCATTTGTTGTGGTAACATAGTATAGAATGCCTTACCCAACTAATTAAATTCTACCGTGATGAGGGATAAGGAACTGAATGTTTATGTGTGTTCCATTACAACTTTGTAAATAATACTATGATATTCAGTGTAATATATCAAATAACCTCATAGCCTCCATGAAAATGTCAATGGTTTAATGGAGATTTTACACGTTCCAGATAGTTAGTTCAATAATGTATGCTCACTCCTGTTCACAACAACAGATATGTAATTGATAGATTACCTTGTTAATTATCTTAACTTTGACTGTGTAACTATATTCTTAAGGCTACCACGATAATGTGTTGTAACTTACGTCATTTTTAAAGAAATAAAATTTGTCATAGTAGGGTATTTTTCTGTAATTTCAGTTTTACTATTATTAGAAGGAAAAACAAATCAGTTGTTGTTAGCTTAATTTTAACTTCAGATATTCGTTCTATATCATTTCGTCAGAAATATGTTTAACTCCATTGAATAAATCGATTTTCAACAAAGTTTATAGAATGATAAACATGAAACAAGATCTCCTAATCAGTAGTGTTGATCTTTGTTAAAATTTGATAATAATTATGATAATATGAAACCAGAGTAGCAGTGTACAAATCTTTCTATTAAAATTTCATAAGGACCATTATCATGCATGTGACGAAAATTAATTTTTTGTTTGTTTGTTTATTGATGTATTTAGATTACGTTTCAGACAAGATTCGGAAATATTTTCACTGATCTAAGTTTAATATGCACATATTATGTAATTTTTTGATCTGAATATTTTAATATCTTATTAGTGAATACATACTTTCTATGTGTTTATAGAACCTCAATGTTTTCTGGTTGTTTTAATTTAATCTTTTCAAGTAAATCTGACATAAATTATTAGCTGAAATCTTGTTACAGTGTCCTTAACTGTGATAATTATGACAATAGTATTATGTACATTTTAGAGGTAATTCTCATCTCTAAATGTTAGTCTACATTTCTGTTTCCATTATATTTTAACTATGAGGTATTTATCAATCCAATAAATAAACAGATTCTTATAGAATTCACGGTATTGTTTACTTGAAACTTTACATTGATGTTTACGACTGCAGTTGATCAGTCTTTTAGTGGCATATGTGTATACTGTGCGTATTACCTCGATATTGCCTTAATTCACAAGCATTATAAACAAAGATAGATAGTGAACATCAAATTTGGGATGCAGGTAAATTCAGATAACGAGTACTAAATAGAACGAAACACGCATCCTGGATTCTACTGCTATCCACTATCCATCTTTGCTTATATAACATTTCTGTTAAATAATATCTTAATATGCTTTGTTGGACAGTTTATAGATATTCTTTGGATTCTTATTAGACTTGATTGTTATTGTTTACTGAATTCGAAAATAAATTTAATAAAAACTGACAACAAATAAATAAGCACCTGAAATCAAATAGTATTCTTCTTATTGACAGAACTAAACTGGAAACCTTTGATTCTAATCTCAATCAATTTGCCTTAGGCTATAATTTTTTTAAATATAACTTGACAATTATAAAGTTTAAAATGGTTTAGCAGATCTTTCTATACTGTGATTGTATGGAATAACTTGAAAATCAATGAAGGATGTAATAATTTAATCAGTTTCATCAACAGGTTTATATAAGTTTGTTTTGTTATTTACTATTTTAAAATAATAATTTTGAAACCGGTTTATACAAAATTCTTAAAACTACTCAACAACAAATGAAAATTGAAAATAAACAATCGGTTTTCTAATTTATTTCAAGTTAAAATTTATTAACATTCTACTGAAGTATTGTAAAGTTATTCGAAGTGTAAATCTTTATACAAATAATCATAAAACCAATATTTTTTTACAGAATGTTCCAGTTATACATGAAATCTATCCTAATGGTGCAGCGGCAAAAGATGGACGTTTGCGTCCAGGGGATCGAATTAGTAATGTCAATCGAATATCATTAGTTGGTGTACCATTTTTGGAAGCTATGAATAAACTTCAAATGGCTTATATTAGCAAATCGTCTATGATAAAACTCGATTCAGATGATGAAAATGAAAATATTTCTTTATCAAATCAAGAACAATGTTATTTAAATCTCACTATATTTCGACCAACAGAACAAAGTCAGAAATGGTTTGATGAAGAATTAATTATTGAATTATTGAAGAAATCTGGAAAAGGTTTGGGAATTTGTATTGCAGACCGATGTGTACATCTTAAACTAGATGAATATTTGTCAGAGAATGAAAATACTTTAAAGGTACAAGATAATTCCTGTGTAAACACTTCCGAAATGCAAACATCATATGGCGTTATTGTTACTGAAATAGTGAGTCAATTTCAGTAATAATCATAATTTTTACTTTTTACCTTATTGTACAGTTACTAACAGAAATGTGAAGAACGGTTATAAATAATAATCGTCAGCATAAATCGAGAATTATTAAAGCTGTGAAATGAATCTGCTAGGTCATTCCGAATTACTGAGCTAAAACTCCTCTAACCTGTAAGCGAAAGTGACTAATTAATTTTCCACTCATGATGAGAATGATAAATCCCTTGAGATTAAAAATAACATATAAACAACCCTAGAATTATTGTATGATAATTATAAGATGACCCGATGCTCATGAATAATTTGAATCAGAATAATAATAATTCAAATGAGAAGCCTTTCAATAACACTTTTATATCTGTTGTACATAATGTAAGAAAACGTATATACTAAATTATGGTAATAATTTATCTCAAAGATAATTGAGGGACTTCATTCTATTCTTGTTGACCTAGTTTGTCTGTAATAATCGTTGAAATATTTCAAGAGAAATTGCTGAAATCTTCGAAGTCAAATTTACTCATGATTTTGATAAATGAAATCGATTCCATATAATTAACTACATCTTTCAAAAACTGTGTTATTCATTTTCCTATCAGTAAAAATTAATCAGGAAAATAATCCTATCACTCTTCAAACTTAATAGATTCAAAATTCATATCATTTATTTCAATCTATGCGTTTAGTCAGAACTTAATAAACAATATTAATAGTAAGTGTTGTGACGTGCGGTGTCCGAAATCTGGTACTGATGCACCGTATGCTATGCGCCAACCCCCCCCCAAAAAAAAATGTCTACTTGAGAGAGGAAGTGTATTGGACTACTGAATGGAATGCTCAAATACTCATTCATATCTATACCATCCTTAGGAAAGTGACCCATTAACCCCAATGAAATTCACCTTTGGGTCACTTCTGATTACCATCAACTGACCTTTTTCTACTTCTGATTGGCTCTCCATACCAGTAGGAGTGAGCTAGTTCAACATATTTATTGATTATAAAAATATGTTTTACGAACATTTCGTTATTCCCTATGATCAAGTTTTCATGAATTCCAAGAAAAATTTAACATTTTGTTATTTTACTAGATTAAAGGATCGATTGCAGCAAATGATGGTCGTCTCATGGCAAATGATCAAATCCTGGAAGTAAATGGTAAAGATACAAGCACATTAACTAGTGAAATTGTTGGTGCTCTATTGAAGGTAAATAAATATCTCATACTTTAGTAAATAATGTTAATTTTCATCATTACTAGTAAATACAGCTTATTCATGGAATCAACAGAATATTTAGTTACAAGTTAAATGTTTTTGACGTGATGAAAATTATTGTCGAATAAAAGGTTTTCTTTTCCATAATTATTATTGGAGCTTAAGGCTCATACAAAATGTTCACTTAGTAATAACTTCAGTAGTTTTTCTTTAATTTACTTAGCACCTGTCATATTATAAAATCAGCTTGTGTGTAACAAAAGCAATCATTCAAGCAGTAAACATTTTATTATTTTAATTGTACATAGATGAACAGTTTTCTTCAAAAATTCAGTTTAAAATTCACATATTCTTCATTTTACGGCAACTGAACTTACTGGATATCAGTGTTGGTTTTTTTGAATAAGGATTCGTATTTTTAAAACCATCGGGTTTATAGACAACTGGAAGGCCCTTCACTAAACGTACTTGTTATTAAAAGCATTAGTAACAACTAAGAACTAAATGTGTAAGAACATCTTTTTGCCGATGCTACATTCATTGTTAAACATGAATTCAAATTTTTGGTGTAATGACTATTAAGTTTTTAACAATTCTACAAGATAAATTAGAAATGTTAATAGTCGAATTCATGAGTCGATGTGAGTAAGACTACCATTGAAAAACCGGAAGCACTGGACAGCCGCTTCGTTCTTTTATGAAACTTCTCAGCAGTACCCATCGACGATCCCGCGTGCGGGACTCGAACCCAAGATTTTTGGTCTCACACACGGACCTTTAACCTCTATATCACATGAGAGATCATGGATAGGTGCTTCTGAAGAACGCCATGCTAGGATGATTTCAGGTTCTCAATGGTGGTTTAGCTTACATCGACTCATTAATTCAACTATTGAAATCACTACAATCTCTACAAACTTTATTCCGATAAAAAATAATTTAAAAATTGTTGTAGTTAAAAAAAGAAGCATATTTAATTGATAAATCTCTTTTTTAGGCAGCTCCATATAAAGTTATTCTCAAAGTAGGAAGACTGAAAAATCAAATCGCTATACCAAATTCAGCTGCATTTCTTTTTAATGATCCTTGTCAAGTTAGACGATAGACTATACAGACTAAACAAGTAAGTGAATCTTTATGATTCATCTTTAAATCAATTGCCTACAATTACCTTCATTTTGTTTTATGTGAACGATTTATTATCTGTGCTTATTTGATTCAAGTTAATTAAACAAACAGATGCAAATACTTTCTGATCAGAAATTATCAATCCTATATACTTGATTGTAAGTCTATGAATGAAAGCCAATAATATGACGTTAGAAACTGATTTGCAAAATAATAGAGAATACATTTATGTTGTGTTTACAATTGTATAATTGTAAATAAGATGAAGGAATGCACTTTCTTTTCTTGAAACTGCAAACGTCATATAGTGTACAAGCAATCGGTTTTTGTCTCTTTAACAATATGAAATTTTAATGCTTCAATTAATTAGTTGATCTAATCTAAACCACCATCGAAAACCTGGAAACACTGGATGGCCGTTTTGTCCTAGTATGAGACAATTTGGCTGTATCTATCCACGATATGCACGCGAAATCTGAGTCAAAGACCTTCGATTTCGCGCACAAATGCTTAACGTCTTGACTACTTATCCGGCATTTAACGTTGTTAACATCTAACTTCAATCGATTCATGATCTTGCGTAACCATTCATCCATTGTCTGAGGTAGATACTTGTCTCATACCCGAAAGGGATTGTGCTTCACTGGTCACGGCTTCCCATCAGAAGTTGGGTTTGAGTTTTGTATGAGAAATCGTGGGTGTACACTGCTGGGGAGTTTCGTACTATGATGGAACGGCCGTTCAGTGTCTCTAGGTTTTCGATGGTGGTCCAGCTTACATTGTCTCATGAATTTAACTATTCAATATACTACAATTTTCAGTAACCCCGTCCTGATAATTATGAAATTACTGGAACTCTGAAAATTATATTTTTGTATTTTACTTATCACAATACACTTGGTTGGATATTGATCTCTTAAGCAATCGGAGTTTAGGGTATCCAAGTGAATCTGTATACAAATCAGGATTTATACAAAGTATTAAAATTCATTAACTTTCTTTAATAACCCATTGTAAATCACTTTAACAGTAGTAAAATTCAAAGTATATCACTCTAACATTAAACTAAATGACTTCAATTTCCGACGTTAAAGAATTTAAAACCATTCAATATCTAATAGTGTAGAGTTCTCAAACTACAACTCATTATAACTATATTTGACAGAATAATTCAATATTCAAATAACTTACACAACATTCATTGTTTATACTTACCAAACTACAAGTAAAATATATCTAACACAGTAAGCAAATGACAAATTCAGTTTGATTCAACTAACTGAAATAAATAATAGCTACTCTCTAGGTAGTTTATGAATACATGTACCAGTTAAGTATTAGAACTTCATTTTTATTTATCAACTTGAATAAATCAATTAGGATAACATTTTTAAGACCAGATAAATTTGTTTTATTTTGTGATTTGGTTTGAAGCGAACGGTACTGGGTTCGAGTCCCAGAGTGAACATCAACTCAGATGCAGATAAATCTAGCTGACGAGTCGCAAATAGGAAGAAACTCGCGTCCTTGATTCCACTTCTAACCACTATCTATATTTGCTTATCTAATGCATATTGTTCATATACTACCAATAAATCATTTGGTTATGAAAAGACACAATAACACAGTTATGAATCCTATCTATGAGTTTAAATAAAAAACTGTACTTCACTTGATATAAGGAGATTGAATAAATATAAAGAGTGGATATTATTACAGTCAAGTTGAAGGTTATTTAATCAAAAAATTACAAATGTTTATGATATAAATGATGATAGTAATATTAATATTCCTGCCTTGTTAAACATTAATAAAAATATCATATTTGAATAATAATGACGATAATTTAAACAAGGAAAGAGTATAGAAACATGAGTGAAGTTGAACGTATTTGGTTAGAAATCATAAGTTTTGTGATAGAGTCGAATGTTGACGACTACTTTCGACTAATGTTTGTCTATAGTTAACGTAGGTACAGCTTAATTGAGTGACTATTAGGAAGGCATACGATAAATGTTTCTATTCGACATCTTGTTTCTACTGCAAGTTGGCGCTTGCTTGGTGATTCAGTTTGATAAGTTCCGCAGTGTATGTTCCATGTCATAAGTAGTGAAAGTGAGCATAAGTTCTAGTTATCAACATAAAGACAATATCTTCCATGTGAATGATTCTTGGACATAGCACTCAACTACGATTCTTTCACGAATCTTTAAATGGTCTTTATTTTAAGTTATACAGTTAGTTTCAAACAGCTTCATTTTGAGTAAGGTGTATTTTAACTTCGAACAGTATTACTATGATGTGAATCTACATGATCATTTTACAACCAAATTATTTAACTTAAGCATTTCAGCATGTTCTTTATTTATCGATTTACACAATTAGATACGATTCAAACATTTTGAACAGAAGCATAGAATACGGAGCTACAACTTTTCATACATTAGGAACTTGTAATAGATTGAATATAATTCGGTTCTGAAATCTGAATCGGTTATTTAAGTGTTCATATTTTGAATTCACTCGTTATATCGTAGTTACTAAGTGCAATAGAATGATCATTTATTGAATTTTTTAAAAAAACATATCGTATTTTAAGATAAAATAAGGTTTAAAAAGCTTACTTCTAGTCGTTACCGATTTTGATACTAACTTATGAATAATCTGTTTCAAATACACCTCTTAGGACGTTTTTGCACAATAGATTTGGAGATCAGGTTTTCCTATTTTTAACTTATTTTTCCCCATTACTGTTTACATAGATAGTTTGTCGAACATTGATATGCCTCTTCAATCCAATAGGCGATTGAACTGGAAGGTTGAATTTCGATTTTTACATAATGGGTAGTCTGTATTGAAATTGAGTAAATTCTTTAAGTTCGTCACTAATTCACTTGAAATCAGATTTTCAGTTTTTTTTACTGGAATACTGAAACCGGTGAACTAGTTTGACTTTAATTGTTGAATGTCTATATGATGAACAAGTTGTGGTTATCAGTACATTTTGACTCAGTGACTGAGTAGTAAAATGTTCCTTATATGATATCTAAAGTTGGTTTTTTATTGTGTCCACTATTAATCCAACGTGTGGCTTATGCTCCTTCATAAGGGGTAACAAACGTAAGAAAGTACGTAATATAGATGTATTGATACGTTATTTTTTCAACAAGGGTTTAGGTGTGAAATAGATCTTCACTTTTATCCTCTTTCTTCTTAGGATCGATTCATATCGCTTTTGATTTCAGTTGTAACAAGTTTTTTATTTAGAAGCTAACACTTCTAAATTTTACCAGGTGCCTTTTGTTTTCTCAAGTAGATTATAGCACAACGTAGTCGAACCCTTATTGTTATTTTAAATTTTAGGCTTTCACATAGAAATTCAATAGCTTTGTATGCTTATTTGTATAATATTTTAAAATCTCGTGAAGGTTTGAGTTGTCAATCTATAATCTGATTATTTACAGCTATTCAAATTGTCAGATAATAATAACTTTCCATTAAAGAAAACAATTCTAATACTAATGATAACAATCGAATTTACTAATGAGATTTTTCTGTATAATTTTCACCATAATTTTACACTTTACCGGTAATATTTGGTATTTTGATAATTATATTAATTTTAATACTTGAGATCGTGAGTCGATTGAAGCTAGACAAACATGGAAAACAGAAAGATTGGACGGCGGTTCCGTCCAAATGTGGGACTCCACAACAGTGAACATCCACGATCCTGCCCCACAAGATTCGAACTCAGGACCTGTCAGTCTCGCACGTGAACGATTAACCTCTAGACCACTGAACCGGCTGGCATCCAACGGTGTTAATGTTTAACTTCAACTTATTCACGAAATTGAGCGGCAGGTTTTCCATGGTCGTCTAGATTCAATTAACCCATGATCTTAACTATTAAAATTACTATATTATACCCTTCTAATAGTTATATTAAATAATTACATAATATAATTATATAAACCTTATTTTAATTTATTTTATTTAGGTAACCAATTTAACCTGTATGGACAACATGGAAGAATGCTTATTTTTGATATCTATCTATCAAGAATGAAAATAACTCTTAATTTGTTATAATGATGAATATTTACAAATTGTTCAGTTCAAATTTGTCCTTTTCTTCTTTTCTTTTCCTTGAAAATTAATGCTTTCTGTTGCAATAATACAAATTTTGCATAAATACAACATTCCATTATATACAGATTATTAATAATCTGTTTAAAATAAAAGCAGCTCAATTGTTCTGTTTTTTTCTCTCATTTCTTCAATGTTTTATTATATTTAAGCTAATCTATGTATGTGACTTATTTTAAATGAAGACAATCCATTCATTTTCATTCTAGTTAACAATACCAACAACGACTACAACAAAAAGAATATCTTTCTTTATCCTCTCTTGCACTGATAATCTTTTTTAAATGCACATATTTTCTCGATAATTTCATTAAAAACGTAGCAGTAATGTTTGTATAATACTACTACTAATAATAATAAATGCTTAGCTTTTCTATATATTAGGATGATACTTTATCGTATATATATATATATAGTGATTAGCTTCATATTTTCCTTTTCCATTCATAGGATATCTTATATATTCATGCTATTCACCTTCTACTCTTTCTCTCACTCACTCACTCACTCTAATTTCTTTATATTCTAACTGAAAATCAACTTGATTTACAATGTGACGACTAGCTTGTTGCACAGTTATTATTACATGGACAGTTACATAAAATAATATTTTTTTATGTAAACAATGAAGATAAAATTAATATTATGCAACAACAAGAAAAATAAACATAATCATATTAATAATTTTATTTGTTTGCATGATAATCTTTTATTCTGATAAACAGAAGAATGAACATATTGAATCCGTTTCCTTTTTTTTTTAAATGAAACTAATCAAAGATGTATTGATGAAGTACAAGAATGTGTAATGTAAGAAATATCTTATTGATTCGATTCATTTCTACTAATAATCCTATTCGTAAAACTTATGGAAACTATTAATTACATTTAGAAAAAAAAATGTAAATTTTCTAATTTCTAACTTGTCACATTGTTTCCTCTTAGAAACTAAATGATTAAAGTCTTTCCATGAAATACATCATAAAAGGCATTTAAAATTCTGATCAGGGAAATATTAGAAACAATAATAAATGTCACACATGTCTTATTAATTTTTTTTTGGCTTGTCACACTTCTCTTCATTTACTTATTCTCTCTTAAACGTTTCATTGATATCATAACGATAAATAGTGAGTTGTTTTATTCACCCATCCTTTTCATTATGTTTTCTGTAAACATATCTAACTTCATTAATTCATGTGAATGATAATATATAGTGTTGATTAGTAAAATAGTAGAATCGAATTGTATAATACTTTGTTTCGTTTTGTATTATAAACATATAAAAAAACTCAGATTAGACTAGGAAGGTTATAATCGGTGGATAACGTGACTTAATGTGATCAGTCAGGCATTACTAGGCTTATTATTTTATCATGAAGAAAAACACAATGACGTTTTAATGGGTTTAATACTTTAGTATTTAACTCTAACTTCTAATTGCTTCCTAGTTCAACAGAAACTTGTTACATGTGAATCCCAAATGGGAATGTGAAATAAATTTTCACATTTGACAAGGTACAGAAAACGTGAATATCTATAAGTCAGTGTTGAGGCTTTTGGACTACAGTTAATTGATAATCATCCAAATAGTATAAAAAACACAATTCGTCATTTTCCTATAATTTTTTAGGGAATTTCTATTAGACACTTTATCCCAACTTCTGAAGACTTTCGACAAGACTCCAAACTCAATAACATAAAATCAGGTAAATAAGTAAAAGATAAATGATAATTAGTCCATTTGGTTTTATTCCAAAAATATGGGATTGCTCCTGTACCGTGTTTATATACTGAATTTACTATATTATGTTCTACTTCGCTCTTTGGATATCATTGCGTTGTATATGAAATATAAATTTTACCTCCTGAAGATGCATATGCTGTACAGAAATAATTAATGCATAAGAAATATCAGCAGTAGAATGAACGACAAACGTATTCAACCAGATAAAAGTACTTTTTGGAGTAGTTCACCATTACAAGATGTAGTCGACAATGTCGAACTTGAGTGCATTAAATATTGAAATATGGTTATTTTTTACTAACTGTTATAGGCTGAACAGTCTTTGAATACCAAGGGGCATCAAGCAGTTCGTGTTTGTTTGACAAATATTACTTACTTACTTACGCCTCACACTCCTCGTGAAGGAGCATAGGCTGCTCACCAGCATTCTCCATCCAACCCTGTCCTGGGCAATACTTTCTAGCTCCGTCCAGTTGTAATTCGTCGTTTTCATATCTGCTTCTATTATCCGACGCAATGTGTTCTTTGGCCTTCCTCTTTTTCGCTTCCCTTCCCCTTACAAGTTAGTGCTTGTCCCGTGATGCAGTTTGACGATTTGCGTAATGTATGTCCTATCCATTTCCATCGTCTTTTCCTAATTTCTTCTTCAGCTGGAAGTTGGTTTGTTCTCTCCCACAGAAGGCTATTGCTGATGGTATCCGGCCAATGGATGTTGAGTATCTTGCGTAGACAGCTATTTATAAATACTTGTACTTTCTTGATGGTGGTTGATGTAGTTCTCCAAGTTTCAGCTCTGCACATTAGAACTGCCTTGACGTTGGTATTGAAGATTCTCACTTTGATATTGGTTAAATGTTGTTTTGAGTTCCATATATTCTTTAACTGTAGGAATGCTGTCCTTGCTTTGCCAATCCTTGCCTTTACGTCTGTCTGCATCTGAACCTCCTTGTTCATCGATGATGCTTCCCAGGTATGTGAAGGACTCTATATTTTCCAGAGTTTCGCCATCAAGTGTGATTGGATTGATGTTCTCCGTATTGTATTTGAGGACCTTGGTTTTCTCCTTACGTATGTTGAGGTTTATTGGTGCAGAAACTGCTTCTACATTGGCTGTCTTTATCTTCATTTGTTCATGTGTATGCGATAAGATGGCTAGGTCATCTGCGAAGTCCAAATCGTCTAATTGTTTCTGAGGTGTTCATTGTATGCCGTGTTTTCCCTCAGATGTCGAGGTCTTCATAATTCAGTCGACCACCGGAAGAAAGAGGAAGGAAGAGAGTAGACAGCCTTGTCTGACTCCGGTCCTTACTTGGAATGCATCTGTCAGCTGTCCTCCATGCATGACTTTGCACTGTAGTCCGTCATATGAGTTCCGGATAATATTGACAATCTTCTCAGGAACTCCGTAGTGTCGAAGAAGTTTCCATAATGTCCTTCTATTGACACTGTCGAATGCTTTTTCATAATCAATGAAGTTGATGTATAGTGATGAGTTCCACTCAACTGATTGTTCGAAGATGATCCGTAGTGTCGCAATTTGGTCTGTGCACGACCGATCCTTACGAAATCCAGCTGTTGATCTCGAAGTTGGGCGTCTACTGCATCTTTCATCCAGTTCAGCAACACTCTGTTGAAGACCTTCTCTGGTATTGACAGCAGTGTGATGCCTCTGTAGTTTTCACATTTGCTCAGATCTCCTTTCTTTGGAATCCTGAGGAGGTGCCCTTCTTTCCAGTCCATCGTCACTCGTTCCTCCGCCCAAATCTTTTTGAATAGAAGGTAAAGCATGTTTGTAGTTTCTCCGATGTCTGACTTCAGTGCTTCAGCTGGTATGTTGTCCGGACCCGCTGCTTTCCCGCTCTTGATTTGTCTGATGGCCATTTTGATTTCTTCCGTCGTTGGTGGATTGATATCTATAGGAAGATCTGTGTGTTCTGCTTCGATGTCCGGTGGAGTCATTGGAGCCGGCTTATTCAGGAGTTCCTCGAAGTACTCTACCCATCTGCTCCGCTGTTGTCGAATTTCATTGATTGGCTTGCCTTCTTTGTCTTTGACCGGTCTCTCTGGTTTACTGTATTTCCCTGCTAGTTTCTTCGTTGTATCGTAAAGCTGTTTCATATTTCGTTCTCCTGCAGCTTTTTCTGCCGTCGTTGCTAGTTCTTCCACGTATTTCTTCTTGTCGGCTTTAATGCTCCTCTTCATTTGCTTGTTTGCTTCTGTGTATTCGGCTTGTGCTTGGACTTTCTCTGCTCGTGTTCGGCTGTTGTTTATTGCTGCCTTCTTGTTCTTCCTTTCTTTGATCTTATCCAGCGTTTCTGTAGAGATCCATTCCTTATGATGGTATTTATTTAGACCCAGAACCTCTTGACACTTTGAAGTCAATGCTTCCTTGATGCTTTTCCAGTTGTCCTCCATACTAGTTTCTTCTTCTTTCAGTAGATCTTGTAACGCTTGGAACCTGTTGTTGAGAGCTATCTTGAATTCATTGAGTTTGTCAGTATCTCGAAGGAAGGCTGTATTGAACCTTTGTAGTGCTGCTTGTCCACTTGTCCAGTTCTTCTTTAGCTTCAGTTTTAAATTGGCCACAACTAGGTGGTGATCTGAAGCTACGTCAGCACCTCTCCTGGTTCTCACATCTTCCATTGTCCTTTCTTGGGCATTTCTCAATGACTGACTGCAGCCTATCTTAGAACTGATCTTTAATGTCGTCGTTGCTATCATTTGTGGGTGCATAACATTGGATAATATTCATTAAGATCCCCTCCTTCTTTGTTTTGAATGATGCTTTGATGATTCTGGATCCGTGAGATTCCCATCCTACAAGTGCATTTCGTGCTACTTTGGACAGCATAAGAGGGACTCCTTGAGTGTGTGGAGCATTGTCCTCTTCATGACCGGAGTATAGCAGCATCTCTCCCGTAGCTAGCCATTTCTGTCCAGCTTCGGTCCAGTGGGTTTCGTTGATTCCCAGTACTGCTAAGTTGTATCTCCTCATTTCCATTGCTATTTGACTGGTCTTCCCGGTTTCCCACATTGTTCGAACGTTCCATGTACCTGTAAAAATTTTTGCTCTGGTTGTTAGAAGGGGTATCGGCCTCGTGGCTCCCGAAGGAACTCGGCTTTCACCACGAAGCGTCATAATTCTTCTAAATGAAGACCTCCTAACTTTCAGGGCAGAGTTTAAATGGTTTGAATTATCTTTTTCTGGTTAGCGTTTTTTTAGCAAGTTAGTTTTTTACGAGATGGGGTCGCTGAGCCCATGCTTAACCCTCCTCCTTTACCCGGGCTTGGGACCAGCAGTAACCCTATAAGAGCTACAGGCGAAGTTGTTTAACAAATATACTCACAGAGAATCACAGCGAAGGTCTTACATCTAAATGAATTGACCTTTTCTAACTCCATTATCCTAATGATGAAGAAATATTTTAAGAAATTAATTCTTCAGCATTGCAAGCTAAGATTACTACGTTTAAGTCTTGATGTTAACATAAACACAGGCACATTAGCTGATGATGAATCCCAAATAGGACGAAATTCAAGTTTAGCATTCCATCATCAGCACACACAAAACTTGTAAATCTGCGTTTTGAAAAATGGACTAGGTAATTACAGACAAGAAAAGAAGTTATAAAGTCTTCAGGCTTTAATTCAACTTAAACCTCACATGAAATATTGTTTCACATATTTTATAGCAGTTCAGAAAAATAATTCATGTAATACTTAATTGATGAAGAACTATTCCTAAGAATTCCATTGCAGTACACTTAAACACCTACTTTATTGTGAAATTCATAAAAATGGTCAATAATACTGAGTGGTGATGTTTGTCATACAACCCTGTTCGTTTATGAGATTCCGTCTTTATGATAAATTATCCTGCAGTTTTGAAATTAAAATATTTTATGGCCAGTATAAATCCTGAATCCATGAACGAAAATTCTTCTATACCCTATCAACAAGTATACTTCGAAATATATGATTAAAGTGAGCATTAATTTTGAAGAACTTCTTAATTACAGATGAAGCACAAAAGGTATACAACATATCTGAAGTGTAGGTACTCATAAAATCCCTCGTACATATTGATTCACCTTTGGACATCTATTTTCGGCATAACTGAGAAATGAATTTTGAAACAAAAATCGTCTGTCATAGTGAAACTGTTATTTTAGCTTGTAATAAGCTTAAATTTCAAATGATCTCGATAGGTGTAAGTTCTCTGTTTCCTGACACCGAACTTCCGAGTCTTGATATGTTAAAGAAGCTTTGCAGTTTAGGTTGATAATTTTGGTGTTATTGCGTTATCTGGGCTAGATACTTTAGTTATATAGCTTTCGTTATCTTCCTGGGTGAAACCACCAACCGTTTTCTGCACATATAAGTAAGCTTCTCAGTTGTAACACAAGTTTCAAAAATAGTTTGTTCTGCTGCTTTTGTTTGTAGTTGTTTATCTTCGTAGGCCTCGTCTTTATTTATGTTTGCATTCCATGTTGAATATTTTGTT